GACAGAGTCCAGTCTGAGGGGAAGCCCTTGTCGGCCAGACACATGAGTGTGGCCTTCCCCTTCTGCAGCTCCTCATCGGAGGGGGACAACACTGTCAGGCTGGGCCGAACATCACCTAGGAGACACCAATCACATTAGAGGAAAGGAACTGAACACATCTCAGTCCAATACCACAAACTTGGACACCTTTCCTGTCAGAGAAACGATTTTCTCCTCTCATCAGTTTCTGTCAGGTGTTCTCTCTGCTCCAGCAGTCACTGACTTAAACAATGTTTCACTTCTCTATAAGAAACCTCTCATGCATATCACCGCAAGAGAGTTTTCTCACATGGTAAGACCTGACATATCTAAAATTGTACGGGGAGCATAAAACTAGAAGATTTATTAAGTATTGCAAAAAATAAGCTTGCTTCCATATTACAATGTAGCATAAATACTCATTTAAAGCTATCACTCATTCTCATATTTAAAGAAGTAAAGAAGTATAGAACAATCTTTACAGATATATCATGTTCTACTTGTAATAACTGCACAGTTATATCCATCCAAGAAAAAGTCACAAATTAAAAATAGTTGTTATTGAATTAGACTGGTGTCTGTTTCTCAGATCTGCTTTGAAAGAAATATTTAAAACATTTTACCGAACCTAACTTTAGTGTAGTTCTGAGAGGAAAATAAAAAAATATGGTCTTTCCAGTGTTTTTTGATCAACAAGATATTTTTCTCTTTTTAAGAAATGTGGGTTTTATATTAGCTTTTAACTTCCAGTTTTTAGTTTGAAATGTAATAAGAACTTACCTCCAAACTCCAGTCTGGTTCCTCCACCAAAAGTCCACCACAGTGATACAAACCAATTGAGCAGCCGTACAAAAACCTCTGACTGTAAACAGACACGGCTCTCTGGCTTTGTCAGATTGAACTAATCCTATTTTCTATCCAAATTTAACAATATATATACATTTTGAAAACCTTTTGAATCTACATGACAACATAATTTATTCCTATTTCTATATTTAACCTTTCCTCACAGAGCAGAAATATTTGTTCAAAACACCAGTAAATACTTTCTTTTACACGGTATTTACGATAAATTGAAGAAACTACATTCAGAAGATATGGCTATGAATAAAACAGAATTACGTTTTACTTACTTCCAAACTCAAGTCTGGTTCCTCCACCAAACGTGTACCACAGTGATACAAACTCATTGAGCCGCCGTACAAAAACCTCTGACTGTTCAGAGACACGGCTCTCTGACTCTGACACAAACAAGACAGCAAAACTTTGTACTTTTACAAGATTTCAGTTCAAATGAAACAATTCACCATGCAAACATAGACAAAGTCACATTGACAAAAAGATCTTAATGAAAAGAACTTTTGATTGATTGTAGAAAATTATTGAATCTGTCTGATGAGCTTCTATATTTGAATCCCCATTCTTTAAATGTTTGGTCAAAGCTCCCCACTGGATTTAATTAGAGTTTAAACTGTCTTTTGATTCCAAAATAACATATTTTAAAGAAATTCATGTCAAGTCCTGATTGACCAACTAATTTTCAGATTTAAATTAATCTTCTTTTTACATCAGCAACATGTCTCTCATTGTGTTGTTGTTTTTTTTGTCTTTGATTTGAA